GGGCAGCCTTTCTTTTGCACCAGAGTAAGAGTTCACTGATCGCTTCAACTACTGAAATTCGGAAGCTATTGCTCACATCCATGGGTAAGAAGTCATTGCATTTTGGCTCATTCTAATTCACTGTAGCTGAGGTCACTTGCACAAATGGGACTTAATGAAAGTGTCTTCCCACCAACAGTACAGGAGATACGTAAAATTATAGAATTATAAGGCTGAAAGAATATTAATGATTCAGTTTAAGCTTCTTCACTTATTGATGAAGAAATACAAGTCCAAAAAGGCTGTGATTTGTTCAGGTTCCTGGGGTCAAATCTTACCCCCAGAAGAACTGGTAGAATGGGCTGTCCTGGGCAGGGGCTGGGAGAGCCCTGGTGCGAGTTTGTTGCCCACTTGCATAGTGTAAATATTCCCACATGGAGTGTTCATGTTGCCAGCAGTTTGATGACTTAAAAAGTTCCTGAAGATCTAATAATCCTGTCAGTCTATCCGAGTGGGCCCCTTGCCCACCACACCGAGCCCTCTTAACCCATGGCCTCAAGATAAATGCTTTCTAGAAGCATGTGAACCACATCGACTATTTTTGTACTGGTCTTACCAAGAAAATATAAACATATTTCAAAGTTTTTGAGTATTTATAACATATTTGAAAAATCATTTGTGCCATCCATTATTTTTATAAACAAACTTAAATACATTGCATCATTTAATGGACAGAGAAAAAGTTTATTCCTCATTTCTGACCTTTCTGTCAGCAAAGCATATTTTATCCTATGCGTGAGTCTGACAAGAACATTTAAAATTGGGTCAAGATCTTAGAAATCAAGGGCCGGGGAGAGGGCTCAGTGGAATAAGCACTTCCCTGGCAAGCGCAAAGGCCTGAGTTCAATCCCCGGTTCCGCCACCAAAAAAAAAAAAAAAAGATCTTAGAAACCCAAACTTACAGAAGAGCACATCCTATTTGTCTGTTGTCTAGCTCTCTCATGTGTCAAATGCTAATCAAAGTACTAAAGATAAAATAAAACCTAGATTGAATCATAGTCATTGAGTTTAAAAGCACGCTGAACTTTGTGTGGTGGCAGAATAAGTCGAGGGATGGGTGAATCTCACGCTGACCACACGTTTTCATGTTGAGTTTCAGAGTCTCCAGTTAATTCCTACTCAACTGCCAACCCTCTTCTCTCTTAGGCCTGGTTCTAAAGTTCCATCTCTCCTTTCCTACTTTGATAACAGTATCTATGTTATAGTTAATGAGAATTCCATGCCACATTATTTAGAATTTAGATTTGTCCAACAACTTACAAATCCATTTTCGGCAACATACGTTGGCAGCCCACTAAGGAGGGTCCAGTGGTCTGCAGGAGGCGTCCTGGAAGGTGAGAGGAAGGAAAATTACTGCTGTACAGAGAAGTGAATTGTGCGCAGAAATAGCACAGGGCTCCTGGGGCTGCTGCATGGCGCTACTCACGGAATCACTTGGATCTCTTCCTTTCCATGTAAAATGTAATCAATGATTTTATAAAAGATTATTGCCTAAGAGACAAGATTATGGGCATAGTGTTACTTTCCAAAGAAAACATTTTTCATTCAAGGTTACATGCTTCAAGAATCACGCAGTGCCTGGTTTGCAAGTCACATTGTTTTTCTGCATAATAAAAATTACTTCCAAAAAAAATTACTTCCATTCATATCTAGCTATCAGATCAGAAATATTGATTATTTATGTTCATTGAGGCTGAACTAAATTTGAGTTTTAAGAAGTTAAATCCCCCAAAGAGCTTTCAGAGAAATCTTTGCCTACTAAATCACTGGCTTGCCTGTCTTCACTCTTAACTGATCCCTTTTTCTTCTCCAGAAGTACCTGGTGTTACATAACTTCATTAGGACAAAGTGAGGTACTTCTCAGCTGCCGTCAGTTGGACACTGTGCCCAGGGAGCACCCAGCCTTTCCCAGCGCTGGTTTGTCTGAACAGGTTCCTGAGGCAGAATTCAGTGGATCTGTTGGCAAAGCTGGGTACTAGTCTGTCTACTTCATGGGCGGATGGACAACCTGAGGCAGGACACACTCCATCCCAATAAAGTTTCTTTCCTTTGCTGAGAACATAGTTATGGAAAAATACAGATGGTTCCGGCCCCACAAAACTTTCAGGCAAGGGTGAAATACAGTCGCACCTTGGTACTCAGGCTGAAACCAATGAGTACAAATGAATTTTCCCATAACACATAGTGTATTTATTTCAATTTTTTTCCAATTTTCTTTTTCAGGGGAAGGATCAAGATTTGAAGGGAACAGGGGGATGGGTATGGAAGGGGACAAGAAGAAGTAAGATGTGTTATGTACAAGTACAAACATCTCCAAATAAATATAATCATCTCATGTACTAGCAATAAAATGCATAATTTTAAAACAAATAATGTATTTAGAAATAACTCGTGAAAGCTCCACATAATGTTCACATTTTACGGAGTAAATATTAACCTTTTACTAGGCTAATAATAGAAGCCTTTAGGCATAGTGGTATCACTCCTAATCTTGTTTGTTAGCAGTTAAAGTTAATAAAAATATAGAACAGTAACTATCAATAGGTGGGAGTTCTACACTGTGAACTACCATGAGACTGATAGCAGTGTCTGGTGCCAAAACAGTTTTTCTTGTAAAAATGCAATGAATGTCAGGTTTGGTGAGTTCTAGGGTCAAGTAGAACTGAGGTGCGATAGTAAATCTAACCCAGTCCTTCCCTGGAGACCCCAATCCTGTTTAACTGAAGATGGGTCTAGGCCTTTCTTTAAAAAGTTATGAAGTTGGCCTGAAGCATCCTTCCCTGTTAAGAACCACTGGTCTACCACATCCTGGCTTTATTTTAAACGTTAAGGAGTTTAAGCCATAAATTAAGACAAGAGTCACCCAGCTGGCTGGAGTACAGCCAGGACTTGATCCTCAAACTCTTTGTTTATTGCTCTTTTTGCAGCTTCAAGCTTCCACAGACATTTACAGGAAGAAAATTCAGACCTTCCTAGGTCTGTGGCCCTTTAGTTTCAGCGTCTGATAACATGTACAGACAGCGTCAGGATGGTTCCAGCATTTACCCTGCCATCTGGTGTCTTCGGACCTCTGTAAGGCTCCGCTTCTCCGAGCTTGATTGGCCATTCATCATAGAATTCCTGAGGGAAATCATATTAGACATCATTAAACAAAGCGTTGATTACCTACTGTGCTTTATTTGAATTGTATGTGTTTGTATAGTCTATGCTAATTGATATAGTTATGGGATTTTAGACCTGTGACCTATAATTCTCAGTAACAATGCTTGTGAACTTGGCACTATGAACAAGAGACTCAACTTTTATCATCTGTAAAATCGAGAGTTAACACAGGTGGATTGTTGTGAAGATTAAATGAAAAATACACATGAAACACCTACCCTGGCATACAAAGTACTCAGTGTGTAGTGGTTCCTTCACAGATAACTAAACCAGAAGCAGGTAAGTGAAGAGGTTTGACCAAAGTCACTCAGAGCAGCTAACAATACCAGTTGCCTCACCTAGCATCCATCTCCCTTCTTCCTGCGAGTACAAGCTGACTTCATGAGGGTACCAAGTGGTAATCCGTCCATGGAAGACGGGTCCTTCATAGCCCTAAGTGGTCTAGGTGAGATGCCTGAATTAAACGGAAGGTAGGTATGTGGCCCATTCTGGCCAGTGAAGAAGCAGAAATCTGCTGAGGATGATTGTAGAAAGATATTCCTCAGGTGAAAGGTGATGAAAGTGACCTTTGGAGAAAATGTCTCCAGTTGTGTCATGTCTGTGTATCCTATTTTGAGTGGTGTCTTGTTTCCATAAGGGGAGACCTCACAATGTGCTACAGGTAGCAAAAATCTTTCCAGGACAAAGTGGAAGGCATCTGGGACTTCAGTGATGGTACTAAATTCTGAACGAGCCATTCCAGAACAGCTGTGCTCGCGACTCCTACCACTTTGTTAAAGATGCTTTTAGCTGGATCCAATAATCCTCACAGGCAAAACCACTGTGACCAATATAATTGGCTCTAATGTTCCAGAGCCAGGATCCAAACCCACCTTTCCTGATGTCTAGTCCTCTAACTGGATGTTTGTCCAGTTAGAATAATTACTCTGAAAAAAAGAACTACAAATCAAATGGGTAGTAACAACCATAAATAATATAGTATCAGTTATATTGAACTGCCAGACCACCAACAGAATTAAACAAGAGGAGGAATGAGTATTATGTTGTGAATAATATTAAATATTTCATTATTTCTGCCTTTAAAGTTTAAAACTTTACGAATACAAAACTGTCCAAGTGGTAGTAACGCTTTCCACCCTAATGCTATATGCTTTATGTATGTTTTCTCAAATCTTCCACCTGATTAAAATGATTCCACCATTTTCAGACAAGAAAACCAGAAATCAAGGAGCTTATAAAAGTTGATGAAAAGAAAAAGTAGTCAGAGAACTGACATTGACTTACTGCATAAAAAGGTGAATAATATATAAATATTTTCACTATGGAAAACAAGAATGTGAGGTGACATATTATTCTAACATACCAATCACTTCATGATGTCTACATATGTCAAAATGTCACATAATTATCTGCAATCAGTTGCCAACCATAATTTGATATTTTTTAGGAAAAAAATTTTGAAAGCGAGCTCATGAAGCATGAAAAGCTACGAAGGAAACTTGAATGCATATTGTTAAGGGAAAGAAGTTAGTCTCAAGAGTGATTCCAATTGCACAATATTCTAGAAAAGGTGGAAACATAAAAGCAGCAGAAAAGAGCTGTTTTCAAAGGTTTAGAGTCGGCGAAAGTGGGTTAAGTAGGAGCGCTTCGGGAGTTCTAGACTAAACGACTCTGTTTGGTATTTTCATAGCAGACGGGTGACGTTATGCAGTCGTCAGAGCTACAGAACTGTGCCAGAGCGCCGTAAGGTAAGCGGTAAGCTTCAGTTGATAACGAGGTAACAATGCTGAGTCATCGACTATGACAAACTTACCGCACAAAACCAAAATGCAACATAGAGAAACAAGAAACAGCGCTGGGGAACCGGTGGGGAGGGCATGACAGTGGCACATTTATGGGAACTTTGGACTTTCTGTTCAATGTTTTGAATTTTTAAAAATTATTTATTTATTTATTTTACTTGGCACAGGCTCTCAGTACACAGCTCTGACTTGCAGTGACCCACCGATATCAGCCTCCTCAAGAGCTGAGATCACCACCACGCCTGGTTCTGGTGGTGAGCACGGTGTGCCTGAGGCTCTGGGGCCAGTACAGCACGCGGTAACTGGGGATCAAGCCCAGGTCCTTGCCCTTAGACCTGTAAGCTATCTCCCCAGCCCCTGCTCAAAGTTTTATTTTTTAGGGGCCAGGGAGATGGCTCAGTGGAATAAGTGCTTGCCTGGCAAGTGCAAGGGCCTGAGTTCAATCCCCGGTTCTGAAAAAAAATATATATATATTTTTAAAATTTAATTTAATTTTTATATTTTTTTGTATTTTTAAGTAAGGGTCTACAGGGTCCCACTATGCACATTGGACTCGTAGTTTTCCACCTGTGTTCAGCCTCCCAAGAACTGGGATTACAGGCACGCACCACCATGCCCCGTCTCAATCACAGTCTCAGCGCACCCGGGTGGCAGGGGCGGGGCTGGTATGGCAGGCCTGGTATCAACCCCAGCCGCTGCGTCTGCCTAAGCAGGAGCTTTAATTCACTGAGCTATTTGGCCAGTCCTCAAAGTTTTATATTTATTTATGTATTTATTTATTTATTGACAGAACCAGGGATTGAACTCAGGCCCTTGCGCTTGCCAGGGAAGCGCTTATTCTACTGAGCCATTTCCCCCGGCCCCTCAAAGTTTTAACTAAAACTAAAACTGATCTAAAATGAGGATTGTTAGACTGGGCGTGGTGGCGCGCCTGTAATCCCAGCGCTTGGGTGGCTGAAAACAGGAAGATCATGATGAGTCTGATCTCTGTAGTGAGACCCTGCACTAAATACATTAAAAAATAAGGATTATTAATTAATTAATTTTTAAAATAAAATGATGACAAATACAAAAAAGGATTAGAAATGCCAAAATTCACACCTTTACCACTTTCACTCTCAAATAAACAATTTTATCTCTGAATCAACCTTTGTTGGCACTGGATTTTATGACCTATCGTGACTGATTCTGTACACAGAATATTTCTCAATTGACTATATTTCACGTGACAGCACTTCATAGGTGATTCTGGGCGGGGCAAGATGTACGAAACAGCCAGGACCTTCTCCTTAGTCATGTCCAGCAGGCCGATGGAGTAGCGTTCACAGTTCAGGTACGTTCTCACTGTGTACAGCGCTTTATGAAACTGTCTCTCAACATCTGTGAGCTCTTCAAATACTTTATTGGCTGACCACATAAGGATCTGAAAGTAGGTAGTAAAGAGACAACAGTTAGAAACAAACACTACAGAAAAGTAGAGCATTTGTTCAAAGAAAGTGAGGTGTATCAAATAAGCTAAATACATATGTAAATCAAATAAACTAAATGCATGTCATTAGACAAGGCAGCGCTGTGTCTGAGTGTGTATATATCCAATTACTATTCTTTAATTGGGATTGTGTTCAGACTTTTGCCACGTCTTGGGTTTGGGGGGTGAGTGAAGCCATAATTAGTCTCCACGCCCAAATGTTTTGAGTTCAAAGGATGAGTGCTCTCATGGTGAACGCAGAGACAGTTCTTGGGCGGAGGATCCATCATTTGTCACCCACTGGCTTTTGTAGGTAGAATGTCACATGATGCCTTCGTATATACAGAGCTGGTCAGAGGTAACCTGCCCTGGAGCATCAGAATGGGAAAGGGGCTGCCGAAGCTCCATCCCGAGGCCTACTCCTGCGCTGTGAAGATGAGGGGAGCAGGCTCCAGGCTCAAGCACCCTGCGTACGTATTGTTCTTTATCCTCTGCCTCATGCAGACGATGAGTGTCAAGGCAGCGGCTTGCTCCTAACACTAACGTTTATGCCATGACCCACTAAGAGAGCACAACGCGTGAGAACTCACGACTCCTTAACAGTCTCGCATCTGCATGAAGTAGGTGCCGAAATTAGCATCACTGTCTCATGGGGGAGAAACCAAGGCCACCCAGGATTTGGACCAGAAAAAGGCCAGCCATTTGGGCCATGAGGAGGAGAGGGACAGGAGACCACGAGAAGACCCCAAGGGTGGAAGCTTTGGGGATCTGCTCCCGGTAGCTTCGCTCCCCAAGAGGAATGAGGGGGTCTGGGCTTGCGGCTCTGGGCCCCACTGCTAGGACAGGTCGGCGTGGAGTGACTGCTGCCACTCTGCCTTTACCTGACTTCTTCTGGACTCAATGCTGTATAGGTAGCTGGTATGCTGAAGCCTCAGGGCAACAGAAACAAAGCTGAGGTATTTGGAAAAGACCTGGAGAGGACAGACAACAAGAAGCTATACTGCTGTCACTTTCTTTGGCTATAAACGAGATGGCCCCCACCCCCAGGATGCCCAGCTCAACATTACCTCTTCATCCTGTTTGGAGAACTCTGGTGCATTTTGTTTGTTTATTGCCATAATCACAGCAAGGACTTCCTTGCCCATCATGATTGGAGTGGCCAGCAAGTTCCTGGTGATATATCCAGTCTGTTTGTCCATAAAGTCAGAAAAATGGTTGTTCTGAAAAACATATTCATGTTTGCCAAAACATCACAGCATCGTAGAGCAGCAGATCTAAGCCATTCTCTCTAGTTCAAAGTGTACCAAGATTTAACCAAGGCACTAATGAGTTCTAACCAAGGCCCTAATGAGCTCCCCTGCCAGCATCATCCTAGGGCTGTGTAGGATGAAGTCACCCATTGCAGAATAAGCAGCCCCTCTGAGCTGTGGCTGTGTCCAAGGCAGTCTGAGGCTGGGCTGGGGGGAAGCCCTGGTGCCCCCACGTAGAGCCGAGTGAGATGCTGGAGAGCAGGAGCTCTGCGCAGCACGGCAACCAGGCGGAGAGGAGTGCGTTGGAGGTCCCATACCCTCTGGAACTGTGACACTGCGGCGCGCACTGAAGCCAGCCCGTCCACGTGTCGTGATAGCTAGAGGACCAATAATCCCCCCCGTGTACCTACTTGTGGAATTCAGTGCTGCCTACGTGGTGTGTCTCTATGTCTTTTGCTATGCTTGGATGAAGAGTGTCTTTTTTTGCTTTTTATGAAATTTACTTTTTAACTTTTGTATGACACGTTCATTGTGTAAACCAGGCGTCGCTGCAGACCAGCTCAGAGGGAGATGCGCTCATCGGGAGCCGCGCAGTACCACACGCTGTGCCCGCTCAGGCCGTCAGGGGCTTCTGCTGATCCCGGCTGCTTAGTGTGCCCCGCCACAGACAGCGAAAACAGAACTAATCATGCTTGGTGTTGTGTTTATGTTGTAGATGCTCACGTATGTGTAAGTCTGTTGGCTTACACAGATCAACAGGTATGTGCGGTTTTACTGGAGCAAGTCGTTGTTATAAGAGCTTGACATTCTTGCTTCCGCGGTGTAAGACGTTCGCCTTCTTGCCAGTCAGGTACTTCCCCTTTTCAGTCATTTTTTCCTTCTGCTATCCTTTTCTCTCCGCTCCCCTCCTCTCCCCTCCCCTCATGAATTTTTTTAAAAAAGTGTATTTAGTACAGGGTCTACAGAGTTTCCCTACACAGCTCGGACTCGTACTGATCGTCCTTTTTTCAGCCTCCCAAGAGCTGGGATTGCAAGCGCGTGTCCCCACGCCCATCACGCCGGGTCTCAATCACGGTCTCAGCGCACCCTGGGGTGGGGCCGGGCATCGAACTCCGGTCCCTGTACTCTGCCTAAGCAGGCACTTCAGTCTGCTGAGCTATCTGATCAAACCCCAGTCCCACTTTTTAAACCCATTCTAGTCACTGAAGAAATTAGAGGGCATGCGGTAGAGCTCAGCGGAGTAAGCGCTTGCTTAGGTAAGCGCCGGGCCCAGGGTTCCTTCCCTGGCTCCGCATGCCGCCCGGCCCGCCCCCGGGGGCGCGAGAGCCGGAGATGGAGTCCGGGCGCCGTGCCTGTAATCCCAGCACTTGGGAGGCAGACATCAGGAGGATCGCTACTGATGTGGGCTGGGTAGTGAGACCCTGCACACACGCAAAGAGAAAACTTAAAACAAATTAGATGTCCTTATCAAGTTGTAGACCTCCCGCGCCCACGGATCTGCCCTTTGAGGGTCCAAACTACTCAGGCCACACATTGCTACCTTGCTTTCCTGACTTCTCTGCTACTACTTCTCTCTTCGCCCTTTGGCCAGATGTCTCTAGAGGTTTTTAAATTCTTTCTCTAATCCACTGCTCGCCTGGGCCAACTCGAATGCTGGTGTCCTCCTATTACCCGTTACAGATTATGATCACCGTCATTTAGGCAGCGATCCTGGGCGCTAGAAGAATAAAGGGAACGCCAGGACAGCGCGCCCCAGGGTGGGATGGGCAGCCCTTCACACGCGTGTTACTCTCCAGCCTCGAAGCCTGTTACCGTTTTACTATGGACTCGAAGGATATGCTCCTGAGTTTCATTCGATGTTTGAGAAAATGGCTCATAAGCTTCTAAATTTAATGCTTTTTTATTATTGGGTGTGAAATTCTTAAATAAACCATCCATCAAATTACCAGGCAGGGGAGAGGAGGCTTCCTAGTGTTTATTTTCACTAGCATAAATAGTCCTCAGAAGAGCTCCTTTGAGCAAATCCCGGGTTTCTGATTCCGGATTCTCTAGATGATCTTTTTTCCAAACAAGTTCCTGAAGGTGACTAAAGAACATTGTTCAGAGCAGCAGAATGCTGACCATTCCTGATCTCAGGGCAACCCAAGTCCTGATTAAACACGGTCAACCCTTGGGATCAAGAAGCAGAGAGATAGGAGGGAAGGAAAGGAGAGTGCAGGGGAAGAGAGCTGTAAACACCTGGTTAATCATTTAGAAAGCCTTCTCTTATGGCTTTATTTGAAAGCACAGTCAGGTTTAGGATGCCTGTGCCATTAATGAACAGCTTTTCCAATAAAGAAAAGAAATAATTAACTTGAGCATATTTCTAATTCCTGCCTTTAATCTGCTTAAAGCAGGCACTAATCATTGGCCTTTTTGGTTGTCTACACCACACGCCCAGCTCCTACAGCGTGATGATTACTTCACAGTCACCGTGGTAGAGAGCAGCTGTTATGAGTCAGGCACTGCTGTGCATTTGGTCATCTTTGTTACTCAGGGGTGAAATTCAGTCTGCATGGAGGAGCTATCTCAGGCTTGGTTCTGCATGCAGTCCTTTTTGGTGCTACCCGGAGTGGCTTCTGCATTACCGCCTTCATGAATCGTCAAGGTTGACATCATCTAGTATTTTTGAGGAATATTGTTGTCTGGTGTCTCTCTCCCAGCTGCACCCACATTGTTAATCAAAGGAAAGATGCCTGTGGCTCGTGGTGCTGGAGAAAGAGCGAGGTCTTCAGGAGCTAGGTTATGGTTCCTGACCCGACACATCCTGTCTGCCTGACTTGAAGTAGATCCTTACTTCACAGATGGAAATATGCCTGATTCTTGTCTCCCTCAAAGGGTGTTTGTCCGAATCAAGTAGGATTAGGAATATAAAGACATGCTCTAAGCTGTCAAGTGCTGTGAAGAAGCAAAGAATGAATCAAGAATTTCACCTCTTTCTGATTGCAGATTTTCCCTCAGTGTCTACAGCATGGTGAAACAGGAGGGCTGTCGGGCAAGTGGGAAGGTGGAGGCTAGAGAGCCGGGAGGTCTCCGTTCCACTGCTGCCCTCTCACCACATGTACCATGGACTCTGGGGAGATACAGCTGTGTGACCCCAACTTCCCACCTGCCACAGGAGGGCTGGGTGAGGCACATCTCTAACACTCCACGATCCTCCTGTGTCTGCTCACCCAATGTATCTGTTTCTTTCAGTCTTGGCTGCACACTAGGATTGCCCAAGGAATCTTTAAAAATAACACCCATGTCCCAGCCTACACTCCTATCTACTGAGCGTCTTGAACATCAATATTTTTAAGAAGGCTGCCAATTTCATTTCAAGGAACAGAGTTGAAAAGCACCATTCTAGTTGAAAAAAAAAAAAAAGCTTAAAATCAGCAGAAATGGAGAGTAAAGAGGGCTTTTATTCCACCCCGACCTCAAGCGGGCATCTATCTTCAGCACTCACTTGCCCCTCAGAACAGCAAGAGTCCTCAAGACAGAGCACTGCCCACACCATGAGCTGCCCTTTCCACGCAGCAATGCCCGCCCTGGACAGCAGCAGGCCAACACTCCCTCATCTTTTAAGCTGCTTTAGTCTGTTATTTTCTTCTCAATATGGAAAACTGAGCTCATTAAAGCATTACAACAGAAATCATCTGACCTATCTCTCCTCTTAGAAATTCTCAGACACCATTTGTTTGAATGTCTGTTTCTTATATGTTCTAGTCCCTTTGGAGGTAGTCTCAAATGGAGACTGAAGAAGCATATTCCCATGAGAAAATCTCAGGGTGTGGGGACAGAGTCTACAGATGGGACCAAGAGAAGAGTTTGGAGATAGATTGCTAAATTACTAAATTCCCCAAGTAGGGCCTGGTCTTGTGGCCTTCCTGCTTCAGCCTCCTAGAGTGCTGGAAATGCAGGTGTATACCATCATGCCCAGCTAAATACAACAAGCTTGTTTTTAAGAGCATCCATCAGTTTAGTCACTGGAAGCAGTTTTATGCATCTCAAAAAGCATGCTTAAGCTGGTTCCAACTTGGAAAGGAGTCATTCTAAAGAACTAAGATGCTAGGAGCCTACCACAGCCCTTGTGCCTAAGAGGGGCTGCCAGTTGTCTGCCCAATAGTGCTAATGTTTGACAAGCTAGTCCCAGGCCTCTGCAGCCTCCTCCTGTAATCAGTCTAGGGTCATCCTTGTCCCTCTCCAGCTGCCCTTGTCACATGCTGCCCATAGACACTTGCACCGAAAGCGTTTCAGGGCTGCTCCTTTCCCTTTAGTTCAGCGCCATCACGATCTATCTCTCCCTTTCTGATGATAGTCAATCATAGCTATGGAAGCTGCATGTAAGAAGGGGCTGTCAGGACGAAATTGCAGTCTGAGTGAAGGGACCATGAATTATTAGCCTTTTATGTTGCTTTCTAAAATGAGTATATTGCAATAGTAAGAAAAAAGTTATATTTCTGTTTCTATAAGGAGTATAACAATGTCTTATATTAGCACAGTGTGCTGTTTTTGGTCTTCAGGATGGTTCAAATGTCCACTTACATGACTGGAATTCACTTCTGATAGATCTGAGTTATAGAGCACGGCTTAGACGCACTGAAGCAGCATTAAGTTCACGGTTGTAATATAAGCCAAAAGTCTGAACCTTCCACTTTCAACCAATGCGAAGTTTTCCTTTCTGCATATTTGATTTACACGTGGAAAAAATCAGTTTATGACCTAATCCACGTCCAAGACCTGCACGTCTCTGAGGGTTGTGAACAAAAACACGAGAGCAGCTTCCTAGGCCTGGACTGGACATGTGGCTGATCTCCAAGGGGACCAAGCAGCTTGACTGGTGGTGCGAAAGGGGAATAACCCAAGCAATGGAGGAGCTGCGGAAGGGCGTGTGGGGCACACCAAGCCCAGGCAGGAGTGCCTGACCAAATGTCAGCATCACAGGGCATATGGCGCTGTTCATTGCTCAGTTGAGATTTAGCTTTAACTAGGAAACTTGCACTTTGGTTTGGTAAATCTGGAAGGGCCAAGCCTGGGTGCTCCTGGGTGCTGTTCTACTCCGCTCCCCACTCTTCCTACATTTTAGTCGAATCAGTGCCACAGGAATGATACTGTCATTTTTCATTGATTCCCTTCTCGACCCCACAAAACCTACATCCTACTGTCAGGACCACCTACCTTTTTCACGTCAGGGACATTGAGGGCTTTCTTTGTGTGAGCAACCCAACCCACTATCCCAACGTCCAGTGGAAACACAACTTCTCTGTCAGGGACCACCAGGTTGTCCTCAAACTTGGAGGTCGTGGTGACATCCAGCAGCCGGGAGGCCATCTCTGGAGTGCCATTGCGGGCACGGCAGATGAACATGCTGCAGCGGTCAGCCTGCAGCAGCTGGGCCAGCCTCTGCAGGGTCCTGTGTGCCATCAGCTCAGCGCTGCTTGCTTCCTCCTGCAGGGACCACAGCAGTTCCAGGCACAGGGCAGACTCCTCTACTTGTGTCAGCTCAGGAAACGACATGCTGGTCTTGACTCCTGCCTGGCTGTTCTTGAAGATTTGTCCCACTGCATCAACATGAAGCTTCTTGTAATAGTACTCCTTGGCAAACTGAGGGTTTTCCTCAAGGTATTTCTCCACAGTACCTTGGCTGATCTCACCCATGGTGTGGCTTCTTTTGTTGTTCAGAAAGGAAGACCCTCAGAGTGCTACCTTAGGCAGGAGCCAAACGGGAAATTCATAATGGTCAGAGTTACTGAGGAAAGCCAAGACAGTACTTTGTAAGACCACCAAGGGCAGAGCAGAAAACTGCTTTGGCGGAGCTCTCAAACTGCCTGTAACTCCTGAGACGTGACAGAAGGCTTTGGCTTATGGTGGGATTCAGGAAGCACAGGCTTAAAGAGTTCTTCAGGACACTAAGTCCCTGAATAGTATTAGCCCCTAAATCCTCAGAGAATCCTCAGAGAATTCTAGATCAGCCAGGCTACTGTCAGGTTGAAGCAACTATTCAAAAAAAAAAAAAGACAAAAAATAAAGAAGCAAACAAAAACTGAACTGCTGCTGGCCATGAGAAAGAATCACCATGGACACATCACACCCCTTAACTGGTAATTAACTGGCACTACCTGGTCATTTAAGTCATTCCCGTATGTTCCCTGTCAGAAGTACTTGGGTTCAGACCTAGGAAGTGCTTAGGACTTTTCCTTGTTTCCATAGGAACTTCGTGAACTTGTGGGGAGATGAAAGGGCTTGGCATCAGCACAGCATAAGAGTGAATCCATTCCTTTTTATTTCTTTTTGAAGGAAACTACTGTCTCTTTGTAAAGAGAACAAAAAATAGTTTTAAAAAAGATTAGAAATGATTGGGGCCAGGGAGATAGCTCAGTGGAATAAGCACTTGGCCTCGCAAGCGCAAGGACCTGAGTTCAATCCCCAGTTCCGAAAAAAAAAAAAAAAAGAAACGATACAGACTTTCACTAAACAAATGTAGGGATTCAACAATGAACTCAGGCCCCCACGCTTGCCAGGGAAGCGCTTATTCCACTGAACCATCCCCCCGATTCCTATTTTATTTTTCTTTAAATGAATCTTACATGTATATATCTGGTACAGGGTCTCACTATGCAGCAGCTCGGACTCGTAGTGATCTTCCTGTTTTCAGCCTTGCCAGTGCTGGGATTACAGGCATGTGCCATCATGTCCAGTCTCAGTGGCCAGCTCAGCGGGCCTGTGGGCAGAGCCTGTGTGGTTTGTGGTCCTGGGGACTGAACCCTGTCCCTGTGCTTGCTTAGTCCACTGAGGTATCTCGCTGGCCCCGCAGTTTGACTTTTGCTCACTAACTCTTTACCTGCCTATGTGTCCTTAAGGTTTCTACTTACTTTCTCTTCCAGAAGATTTAATGTTTCAGTTTTAATATTTATTTATTTATTTTGCAGTACTGGGGATTGAACTCAGAACCCTGTGCTCATTCTACTAGTTTTAATATTTAAATCTTTGATCCATTTTGACTGTAGTTTTGTGCATGGTGCTAGGCATGGGTCTATTTTAAGGCATCAGTATGTGGAAAGTAGTTTTTCCAGCACTATTTATGAAAGAGGGTATGTTCCTTCCAGTGAGAATGTTGGACCCCCTTTGTCAAAGATAACAAGGCTGAGTGTGTAGTTGTGTCTGCACCATCTAATCTGTTCCATGGATCCTCAGGTCTATTTTTATGCCAGTACCATGCTGATTTTATCATAGTAACTTTGTAGTATAATTTCAAGTCAGGGATTGTGATACCTCCTGCCTTTCCTTTGTTTTTAAGGATTGGTTTTGCTATTCTAGGTCTCTTGTGGTTCCTGATGAATTTTAGGAATGTTTTCTCTATATCTGTGAGATATACTAATGATATTTTCAGTGAGATTGCATCGACTCTGTATAACAATTTTGGAAATATGGCCATTTTCACAATATTGGTTCTTCCTATCCAGGAGCAAGAAATAGCTTTCCATTTTCTGAAATCCTCTTTAATCTCTTTTTTCAGAGTACTATAATTGTCACTGTATAATTCTTTTACTTTCTTTGTGAGGTTGATTCCTAAGGATTTCACATTTTTGGGTGTTACTGTGAAGGGTATGGTTTCCATAATTTCTTTCTTGGTGAATTTGTTGTTTGTGCATAGAAATGTTATCAATTTTGGAGTATTAACTTTTTGTCCTGCTATGCTACTGAATTTGGTTCTCTAATCTACAAGTCTTTTAGTGGATTTTTTGGGGTCTGCTATATACAGTATCATGTCATCTGCAAATAATGATAATGTCACTTCCTCCTTTCCAATCATTATTCCTTTTATTTCTTTCTCTTGTCTAATTGCTCTGGCTAATCTTTCCAGAACTATACTGAACAAGAATTATTACAGTGGACATCTTTGTCTTGTTCCTGATTTTAAAGTCAAGGCTTTCAATTTTAAGAAAAATGTTGGCTGTTGGTTTGTTCTAGATGACTTTTATCAGACTGAGATAAAGGCCATTTATTTCAATTTTATGTAGGGTTTGTTTTTTTATCAAGTGTGAGTGTTGGACTTTATCAAAAGCTTTTTCTGCATGTATTGAGATGATCATGTGATTTTTGTCTTTGGCTCTGTTAAGGTAATATAATTTTATTTTTATTTATTTGTATTTTTGTGGTACTGAGGATCGAACTCAGGCCCTTGCTCTTGCTAGGCAGGTGCTTATGTCACTGAGCTATATTCCTGGCCCTTGTTTTGCATATATTAAACCATTCTTCCATTGCTGAGATGAATCCCACTTGGTCGTGCTATATAATGTTCTTGGTGATTTGCTGCATTCTGTTTGCTGGTATTTCATTAAAGATTTTATATATATGTTCATTAGGGATCATTGGCCTGTAGATCTCTTTTTTGGTTGGGTCCTTCTCTGGTTTTGGTATCAGAGTTCTACGTGCCTTCCTGGAGGAGTTTGGGGAGCTGCTTCTCTAAGAACTTGAGAAGAGTTGGCATTAGGTCCTCCCTAAATGTCCTGTAGAGTTCAGCAGTGAATCCTTCAGGACCTGTTTTGTTTTGTTTTTTCTTTGTTGGATATATATATATATATATATATATATATATATATATATATATATATATATATATAATTTTCAATTTGATTGGCTGATATTGGGTTATTCAGAATTTAGTTCATACCTATCTAGGAATCGGTCCATTTCTTCTGTATTTTCCATTCTGTGAGAGTAAAGATTTTGGATATAGGTATTGATAATCTCCTGAATTTCCTGTAGAGTATGTAGTGATTTCACCCTTTTAATTCCTCATTGCATGAGCTTATTTTCTTTCCTTTTTAAAATGAGGTTGGCTAGGGGTTTATCAATTTTAGTTATTCTTTGAAAGAACCAACTCTTCAGCTCATTAATTCTTTGTGTTGTTTTCTTTGTCTCCGTTGCATTTATTTCTTCTCTGATCTTTATAATTTCCTACCTTCTTTGGACTTTGGGCTTGACTTGCTCTTCTTTTTCTAGGAGTTTGAGGTACAACATAAGAGTGTTTATTTGGTTTCATTCTGTTTTCCTGATGTGACTATTTATCCCTATAAATTTCCTCTTAAGACAGCTTTCGGTGGCCCCCACACCCGCTGGGCTCGCAGGCTGGGCCTCCGGGTGGAGGCTGGAGCGGATGCCCTAGCCCCGGGGGAGGGACCAACAAGCCCCCCGCTAGGAGGAGCTTGGGGCTCCCCCTCTGCGCCTCTTCCAGGGGGTGCACGGTGGGGGTGGGGGCGGGGCTCTGGCCTGGCCCAGCACGACTGGCCTGATTTTAGGGTCACCCGTACCTCCCCTTCTCCTCCCCGCTGTTTCTGGCCCTCCACCCCCAAGAACCGCACTCTGTGGGCGGGGGTCCGCCGCAGGCCCAGGTGGGGAGTGCAGCCAGCCTGGCCTTGGGCCCCCGCCGCCTTCCCCGCCTTGTGCAGAAGAGGGAAATAAGATTCCGTCTGCCTTGACAATTCCTCTAGCAACCCTCACCAATTAGAAGAACAGAAGAACTCAGCCAGACTGCAGGTGGCAACGTGCAAGCCAACGCAGTGTGTTTTTATAGAAGACGAAATTTCCAATACGCTTATAATGCTTGCGACAAGCTTGGTAGGGAAGATGAGGGAGAATCTGAAACAACAGTTGAGCTTGACTTGACTGATAAACAGAAACACTGCTTGAAACAATGCGGCGCTGCCCTTTTGAATGAGACAGAATCGGTGTTGCCAAATCTTGACAAAGGACGCTTTTTCTACGCCTTGGTCTAAGACCCCTCAGTGGAAACATTATTAGCTGACAAAGGTGAAAGCTGAGCGGGCCCTAGAGGCCCAGCACGCGCGCCAGACATGCTCCTGGAAGGAGACTCAGAGGAGAAGGGACAGTCGCAACTGGAGGCTAGAGTTTGGGATCCCAATAGCCCACGTAGGGACCGCCAGACTGACCGGTGTTTAGTTGTAGCACGAGCCCGCGCCTGCACATGAGCGCTGCCGCCGCTTCCCGAGACACCACCTTGTTTCATGCCGTGGATACATGATACAGACCTGGCTCTGGCTTGAGCAGCGCACTCAGTGGCTCAGTGCCGCTGGGGGACCTGTTTTATGCAGAGATAATGGAGCAGTGGCCAGCCTCCGAAGCTAGCTTACTTGAAGAAGCATTGGGAAAATATGGCAAAGGCTTCAGTGACTCACGTCACGATTGTCTCCCTTGGAAATCACTGACTTGCATCTCTGAATATTATTGCATGTGGAAGACTACTGACAGATACGTGCAGCAGAAACGTCGAAAAGCTGCAGAAGCTGAGAGTACTGAGACAAGTATATCCCGACTTACAAACCAAATCCCAACCAAATATCCACCAGCAACGGCAAGCCGGGCAGTGTGAATGGAGCTGTGGGAAGCACGCTCCAGCCCCAGAACCCCCTCTTAGGTCGCTCCTGTGAGAGCTGCTACGGATGCCCCAGTGGGAAGTCACCTGTCCCGGCAGGCCATGCAGGGAATGTCAGTGGGAAACAGGGAACCCAAAGCCGCAGTGAAGACCCCGCCAAGCCTCCTTCCTCCACACGGCGTATTTCACAACATTTGCTCGTCTGGTCTGCAAAAACACTCTCTGATTGCGGCAGGCAGCAAGAGGCCCATTTGTTGCTATT